TACTAGTTGCTAATTTCAGCCAAGTCTTTGGAGTCATTGTTTTAAGGATATTAAGTTCCTACAGCTTTAATGGAAATAGAAACGAGTGACTCAGGGTAGTGCCTCTAACAAGAGAAATCTGTATTGTGAGCTCTGCTGTACCAAGTATTGGAGCTTTGATCTGTCAGAGACATGTCAAAGTCTCTAAAGCACAGTAACAAAACCTCCATAGTTTTACATTGTCCAGGTGTTAAGCCTTGTTCTTGAGTACTTAGTTTCAGTCTTTAGCAGCAAGCTTCACCTCTGACACTTAAAGTGCAACTTTATATTTAGTATTTAGCATTTACCTGTGGACTAATCAGAGGAGGCCTATCGAATTTGGGAATAAAGAGTATTGTAACAGCTGAAGTTTCATCAATGCCTGCATGTAAGTAGTTCTTGGAGTATTCAATTATTAGCTTGCTTTGTAACTTTCCTTACTGATGCCATCGCTGTGTAGGCATTTATCAAGGTGTGGGATTAGTTTGAAGCTGCTAGGCCATAGGAGTCAGTATGAACTTCAGGATATGGCTTATTACTAAATGCTTTAGTGTTTAAAAAATACTGGCAGAGGGTGAACCTCCATGATATTGATTGGAAAGCAAAACTAAAAAGTTGTATTTATATTTGGAAGCATCAAATGCATAAGGATGTCCGTCCAGAAGGCTATTTGAGCAAGTGAAAACCAACCAGATACATGCTTTTTCTCTACATAAGTCACTAAGAAAGCAAGTGAAGTCCTTTGTAACTACCTAAGCCACTTAAGGTGGATTTAAAAATTTCCACAGACATTGTGCAAATTTTAAATTTAGCTGACAAAACTGTGGTGATATGGAACATGGATCTACTTAAAGAAAAAAAAAAGAAAGAAAAAGCTGTTCAGCTGGAGTTAAATTTAAATGCTAATTTTAAATAATGGCTAGATTGTTCACAATTAAACCGTAAGATTGAAATGTTCCTTACTATTTCTTTTAACAAAATGATTACAAGAAAATAATTACTTCGAAAAATAGCTCTAGTGATGATACTTTGATCTGACTTTGGTTTTTCTTTGCAGGTAAATTTCAGGTGATGATACAGAAGATGTAGATCACATTCAAATCTGGGTATCTACCTTAAAAATCCTTTGTGTGTGGATTCAGTTATCTTGGTTCAGCTTTGTCTGTAGCTTGTAAATTATAGCAATGTGCAGCACGATTCCAAAATACATAATAAATATTCATCAAAATAACAACACTATCCTTCTATGTTGGTATGCAGTTCATTCTGTACCAAGGTATTAATGTCCACATGGTAAAAACTGTCTACTCACAAGTTTTCAGCAAAATATTTCAATTACCAAAACAGCACATATGGAAGAGCCGAGGTATGTTTTGAGGACAGAAGAAAAGCCTGCCCAATACTTAATTGGAATAAGAAACTGATGTGTTTTGTGTCACCTAACATGATTGCCCAACTGCTGCCTTTCCCTGTTCACTCTGAACTGTGAGGCAGCAATTGCTTTTGTGTTATTCTGAGGAAGCCATTAGCACGTGACCTAACAGGTGTTCAGTGGACGCTTAGTTCCTTTGTAGGAATGATACCAGGCAGTAGAAAGGAGAGCTTCTGAGAACTTACTTCTACATAATTAAACAGTTTCTCCTACCTCCCTAAAATTAGCAGCTGTTTATTTGTGTCAGAATAATTTTACAGCTAAGGTCATCTGTACTGGCCAAAGAAGGAAATTTGTTCTAGCTTACTGTGCATAAACTCAATATTAACATAATTGTTTTTAATTGCTAGCTACAACTTGCTTCTGTAATGATTGTGTGCATGAAGATGATTAGGCCTGCAAGAAGCTATAAAGACATAACAAAGACTCTTGTTTTCAATGTCCTCATTGGGGTTTGCTAGATACTACTTGTTACAAGATTTGCATAATGATACGTGTCTTGCTGTGGGTAAGCATGAAAGCATCTTGTTAAAACTCTTAATGAATTTTCCTGTAAGTCTTTTCTGTTGGCAGGTTCAGGCCTTAGGCTTTCAAATGAATCACGATGGAAACTTACGGTGTTCATTCAGAAGTGTGAGAATGCCTTGTCACAGAGATTCAGTTTCTACTTTGAGACCAGTAAATAATGGGCTAACTGGAAAAGCTAACATGTTAAAATAGCACCTTTGCTGTAACTACAGTTTGTGTTGGGAGAAGTGTATGTTGTCCATTTGCATGGTGGGCAAGAACAGTGGAAGCTGTTCTTCCCTAAGCTCTAGGGAAGGTCTGAAGTTTGTAGCGGATCAAGCCTTTTCTAGATTGCTGTTACAAGCTGGCAAGCTATAGATTATAAATGTGATCACCAGGGGTTTATTATACTTGAGCTTAAGATGTGACCAAATTCAGATCTTTTCAGGTACTGTGAATGCTAGTTCAGATTAGTTGTAGCTGAATGACTTGGCAGTTCTAGTAAGCATCTAGAGCAGAACTTGAACTAGCAGAATGCTCTCCCACTGTTTATAGAACTAGCAAAGATGAAAGTAACTACTGTAGTATGGTACATACTCAGTGGGGATCAGCTGTTCGACTGATTGAAAACGCTGTGTTCTTATACTGGTAGTTTGTGCGAAGGCTGTGGTGGTTATTCACCTTTTATAGCTCAGATTTGTTGGAAATTGGAGGGCTAGAGAATTAGCTAACTGCTATTCTAGCATATCAGGGGTTCTTCAGTTGCCAGCTCACCCTGCTTTCAACATGCTGAAAATGTCACTCAAGAGACCAGAAATAACTTGCATCGTGTCTAATAGATGGGCATTTCAGCGAAATCACACTTCAGGCATCTGCAGCATGGTAGACATTCAGCATCAACATGCACAGAATTATTGTTACTTGTACCTCCAGAATTAAAACTGTAGTAGTTATTGTAACTCACTTTGATTTTTCACTTGACAGTTAAGACTACCGTTCCAGAAACAAAAGCGCCAGTCATTAAAAGACATAATAAAGGTTTATCAGTAACTGGTTGTGGTTAATGATTATTTTTAATAGTGAGGGGTGGGACTTAAATTCTACAATATACACAAAGCAGATGTGAGTTAATACTGTGTATCAGCTTGCTATCAGCAGAAGCCATGGTTCCTGTAACATGGATTTTTTAATTGTTAAAGATAATTAGAACCAGAGGGAGTCATTCATGTACCAAGCAGATGCTGATACTCTTGGCGAAGCATTCAATGTTAAATATATAAATAGGCAAGCTAAATATATAAATAGGCAAGCTAAGGTATTTGTCAAGTTACCATACAGAAAATAAAATTTTTCATTGTTTAATAAATGCTTCTCTGAAAAGCATTGAATACAGCCCTAATTTTCATTGGTTTCTGCAACTTTTTACTAAAAAATAGTATTACTACTCAGAAAGTAGTAATGTTTATGTTTTATATAATAATTGTTTCAGTAACTTACTGTATATAGTAAGTTACGGCTATAGTTGAACTGCTTAGCAGTGCTTAAGCTCAGGAACCAAAGTTTGAAAACAACATACTTGGTCTAAGTTGTGTAAATTTCTATAATAAGGCTGCTGTTAAATAGTATGAGGAATGAGAAAAACCACAATAAGAACACTCTTTAAAATGCTTCAGTTTTATTAAAAAAAGCCCTCGATGGGTGTGTGTTAGGTGAAGTCTGAGGTTACATTACAAATGATTGTTCTAATAGCAGTGTCCACGGAATTACCGAGATAGTAGAAATTTCTAACCAAGAATGTAGTTTACAGAGACAGTAGCTTGAGAGATGATGCCAGACACTTTGTTGACCATTGTACGATGATGGTGATGATGAGCAGAGACACTGACAATCTCATGCTAAAGCCTCCACTTAAGTTATTCATAGCTGTCCCAAATGCATTATCGTGAGGAGAGGTTGTATCGTACTTCAGGTCTACGCAGTGCAGCGTCTTGCTGTTAACTCTGCTAATGCTGTTTGTACTATGGCGACACAAAATACTTCACAGTCTCAAAACAGTCAGGAAGGCTCATCTGCCAGATCACGTTGATCAAAGTACCTAGTGGAGAGAAGTGGGGTACGGTAAGAAACCTCTAATGCAATAGACTCCTTGCTTTGGTCTGAGCTGATAGACGCCTTGCTTTCTAGCTCTTCTTTTAGTGTTTTATCATAATTGCAGCTTTGCAGTTCAGGGGGCTCATCTGAGGAAACCAATAAGCTTACTTTACTCTTAGGTTTACCTTAAGTCCTTTTACATAACTGTATTTGCTGCATAGGCCTAGGATACTTTAACTGACTTCCACTTTAAAAGAATCTAGGTTAGGACAAGAGTAATCACACATTTATTCTGGACATACTTTACTGTTTCAGGTATGTAAGCTGCATTACCTGCTAACCAAGCAGATTAACAGGTTCAGAGCTGATATTTGTTCTTCATTCTTGTTCTCCTGAAAGAGAAATAAATATTAGAGTACTTTTGTTATCTGTGTCAAATAGAGAAACTGTTACATGGCATGTTACAGGCTTGTAGTCTTCCCTTCATTCTCCAGCAAACTTAGGACACGAAAAATTACTTACCAAGACTTCAAGAACTGAAAAATGATCCTCCTAATAATTTGCTAAGTTCAACAAGTCCTTTGCGCAATGTTACATTAAATTTTACCTCTAGTACTCTGACTTCTGAGCATCGTCTTGCCAACTGTCGAATAAGGGAGTGAGCTTCAGGTAGCAAAGGTTTTTCAAGGCATGCCAACAGTGCGTAAAGCCATCTACCCTGTGTGGAGTCAAATAACAAAGTTTTAATTAGCAGCATTTTCTTGAAGTTTCATGCAGTTCTCGTTACACAGAGCAGGCCTGGAGCATAGCTCTCAGAACAAAATTCCATTTAAGTGCTACTGTCAGAATTGAGTAGTTTGAAAGCCAAATTAGACACTCCTAGAATTTTCTGTCTCTAGATAAGCTGCTTGTGAGCAGTACACCTGGATTTCCTGATTTTTTTTTGAATACTGGCCAAGATTTAATAGTGTAAGCTGTACTAATTTATGAGTCTGAGGGAAGGGTTATTTTAGTAGTATATAAAGATTATTACTTAGCTATTAACTTCACAAACTGTGGAAAAACATTCCTGAAGAGCGACTGTATCAAGTCAGGTCTTAGTGGAATTAATGCTGTTAGATTAGTTCTAAGATTTGCACCACTGGGAAAACATGTCCTTTGCATTTTACTTCACTGAATTCTACTGCATTCTTACAAACGTAACTTCTGCTACCAGTCTAACTTCTTAATTTAATTTCAGTGTCTGGTGGCTTTCATTATGGGAATAAACTAAAACTCAGTGTGCGCATTCTCTGCAGCATATTGGTTATAAAGAAAACAGTCCTGCAGAAGAGAACAGAACACAAAAGGCCTTTAAGTGACCCAAAAATAGTGCAACTCTGTTTAGTATTATGGAAGTAATTTTTCATTACTCTTTTGCTTTGTGGTACTGACTAAGATGAGATGCATTCACCAAGGTCCTTTGTGGATATGATGTAGCTAGTCAATCTGGTTGTGGCGAAACTCCATGCTCATATACTCTGTCGATCAGTTTCTTACTAGGTTTGTCACCACACTAATGCAGCTAAGCTTTCTGGTCTGTGCTGCACGTTGAAAGATTAAATGTGTCTTTACCAGCGCACTGTCATGCATCTCCAACCTGAAATGGAGGTGTCAGTAAATACAGCGTGCAGTACCCTGAACGCTTAAACTGGTCAGAACCAAAGCTGCTGCAGTCGGACCCTCTTCTCTCTCCCCAGTGCTGATACTCATCTAACCTTCTGATTTAAGTTAGTGTGGGGAGCAATAAAAAGGGGAGGGGGGCTTGGCAGTACTTCATAGTTCTGTATGTTATCAGCCTTCCAGAAAGTTCTGTGAATACTCATTTCAGTATCTAATCAAGAACGTTTTGACAGTTAACTGAATGTTTTATATGCATCTAGAGAACTCTTTAGAAACTAAAATAATCTCATAGAAAGCTATGAACAATTTATCCCTTGTTTAATGTGTTCGTGTGCAAGTAGTTAGAACAAATTAAAAATTACCAGTTCTGGAGTAAATTTTTTCTCTCCAAACCAGCTTATCAGGTATTCTAAGACACTGGTTACTGTTGCCTTCAAAAGAGGAAGAGAAAGAGACAATACAATACCTGCAATGTTTTGGTTTGCTGTCCTTCTACCTGAAGGATTATATTACATAAAAAGCAACGTGATCTTTTAAAAATATACACATTATGTATTTCTACTCCACTGTGGTACTATATGGTATTTATTCCAGGTTGAAGTTACATAGAATGGTAAAGTAAGTGTTAAAGCACCAGTTCCTGGAAAGAACTTCATATAAAATTAAGTAATTTTCTGTGTTAATAAAAAGTTATGGATAAGTAGCTACAGGTTAGGAAAGAGGCAGCACACTGACTGCTTGTTTCTGTATAAAGGTGACTAGTGGGAAACACAGTAGTAAAGGAAAGGCAAGTGTGATTCCTCTAGCCTTGCAATGCATGCGCAGGACTTGACAATCAAGTTGAAGGACTGCACTGAAAACACTAAGTGAGAAATGTTAACACACCATCAAGCACCTCAAGGGGCATTCAGCAAGAATTCAAACATTGAATGTTCTACAGAGAAATTACAAGGACAGAATACTCTGGAATAGGCATGATAAACATTCAACTAGTAAAGTTGTTTGTAGCTGAAGGTGAGATAATGAGTACGTGTTTTCCTTGCAAGTGTACAATGAATAGCAGTTATAATAAACAACTGTCTACTCTAGCACAGAAAAATAAAGACTTCTGCAACAGATAGAATACGAGAAATAATTATTTATGCACTGTCACTATGTGATTTTAAGAGGTAGGCTTACCTGATTCATTCTGCTTACAATACTTAGCAAAGGGGGAAAGCCCACCTGAAAAATAAAAAATTGAGTTGGAAAATGCAGACATTATCATAAACATTTTTGTTCTAATTTAGAATGTACTAACATTTTAATGTGATGCTCAGACATTCAGATTTGAAGGTCTGTTCTGAGCTTTGAAATCTATTAAAAATCTATTAAAAAAATAATAATCTTCAAGCAACATCAAGATCAGGTGCAGACAAATTGTCAAAGAACCTTGCTTTCACTGTTCTTTGTTAAAGCTTTGTTTTTTCAGAATGATGCAGTGAAGGGCATGTTTGGAGGATAGCTTGTATGAGCAGAGGAACCACTTATCACTATTCAACAAAACACTAAAGCAGACTATGCAGAAAGCTTTCTGTTGAGTTCCGTGAGCAATAGAGTGCTTTAGCTGCTAATAGATGAAGGAACTCTTCAACTTTTTGACTGAAGGGACAGACTTTTCACTGTTTCACTGAGTTTCCCTTTTAAGAAAAATGGAACTTCAGGGGCTCCCCAGAGAAGCTACTTTCTATTTAGCACAAAGGGGTGATAAGCAGTAGGATTGTTTCTGGCAGTTATTGTTGAAAATAGCAGCTGAAAATTAGATAGAAGTCCTATACTCACCTTTATGTAATCAATTCCTAGATTTTCATTATCAGATAGTGCATTTATTTCCGAGTATACTCTTTCACCCAGGCAGAACTTCTTCCAGCCTTCTTCATCCTCTGATTTTGGCTGAAGTAAATAAAAATAAATGAAAACTATGAAATATTGCTATCTCGAAGACACTGAAGAAAAGACTTTATAATATTCACAAGTTGTTGCATTAAACTGTAAAGCAAGATTAACCATGGATTTAATGACTGGAAAAAACCCACAGCACTGTTACGAATTCTACTCACCATAGTAACATTGCTGTCCAAATGTTGTGACCGCCAGTGATTTCTGTGCTTGTTCAGGCTCTGAGCAATTAAAACAAAGCCAGATCACAGTTTAACTTTGCAGTTATTTTATCCTAGCCATAATTGCTCTGTTATTCTTAAAATGCATAAAAAGTATGCATGTTAAAAAGTATGATGTTCTATACATCAGTAGAGGCAAAACTGTGTAAATTTAATTTCCCATGCCTCTTAGTATAAATGTAACTAAGTTGCTCATGCTGGGTTTTTGGAAGTAATGTTCAAGCCAAAGGAATTTTAAAGTCTACTACATAAAGTCAAGTTGAGGTAGTAAGCTTTAATAGTCTTCTAGACTTTTCTTGGTATAACAAGCTTAAGAAAAAAAAATTACTTAGTCCAAAAGCACACATAAAGCCACTATCCTGTTTCCAGCTGTGGTCTGCATCTGTATCGGATGTCTACAGAACTGTCAGAAAGAAGGCAAGCATGCTTTCCTAGTATATTGCTTCTGCCTGACAGGGATGCCATGTAAGACAGATTGGCCTGCTTGACAGTTGCCTGTACAAAGGTGTAAACTTTTCATAACAGAAGAAATTTTCCCCCCAATCCAATTCCTATTGTAGCAGTAAAAATGACCGCTAAAACCACTGTAAGTAACAGTAGCTGATGCATAGTGTTTGAACAAGTGACTTCTGATGCTCTTTTTATCCTCCTAAGTATTTCTTAGGATATTCTCATACTTCACAGTGTTAATTCTGGCACAGATGAGAGGACAACAGATTTTTGTATAAAAGAAGTATCTGTACAGTGAACATGCCTTTAGATGTCTGTTTCCTCAGTTCTACTAAAACCTTAGATGATGCCTAATATACAGTATGCAGTGCAGTACCTTGTAGAAATAGGGACTAGCTCAGTTAATGTTTACAGTGTAGATGCAGTAGTACAGATCTACACCAATTTACGTCCCTGAAAAAAACGGCAAATGAGCTCATGCAAAGTTCAGTGCTACAGCAGCTTCAGTGCAGCTGTGATACTGCTGTTACCTGAGGTATTCCTACAATGCAGTATCAATGCATTGTAAACATGCCTTCTGCAGTACTGGAGTCATAAATGATCTCCACCTACATCTTTATTATGTTTTGCATTTCACCCTATTTGAACTGTGGATAGAGAGGGAGACTGCCGAATTCTCCATTTTTGTTCTGTTATTTAAGAGCAGGGTGCAAATGCAGTAGGAAAGATTTAAGTCTGTGCTAACACTACAACCTTACAAATACATTTTACCAAACCAGTATTTTTCCTCATAATGGGTGCCATCACTGTCAACAGTATCCTAAATGGCAGCGTGTTCTACATACATGAATCACCTGGTGGGCTAGAAGCCACTTGTCTTTTAGTTAATTTGCATTCTGCAGAACATTCCTACTAGCACTAGGTTTTAATACAACTGCATAATGTCATAGGGATTTTTGTCCTCCCTCAGCCACTATCATTTATTCTAAAGACTGACATATTTTTGCTGAAGTTGAAGGAGAATTTTTTTTCAAACATGACTGTCTCAAGAGTTTTATCAGAGGTTTCAAAGACACAGTTTTTTTAAGAACTTAAAAACATTTGCATACAAACATCTGTCCTGCCATAAAGTCACAACATTTCTATACTAGATATAACGTTGTCCCCCATAAAGCACAGATGTGTTCTACCTAGACAGTGCAGGTCCCATCACACACACCATTTTGTACCTGACGAACGGCTGAGAAATTGGCCACTTGCTGCTGCTGCCACTTGAGCGTTGGAGAGTATCCTTCAGGAGCAGGCTGACATCCGGAAATCTAAGGAAACACTGGCAATAATTACAATGTAAAAAAAGCTTTATAACAAGAATGCTTAGGAACCAGAGTATTGGTAAGTGTTTACTATCAGGTAAACAATATCCTTTAGATCTTCATTTAAGAAAGGTAATTTCATGACCACATCCAAGACTGACTCAACAGTTGGTTTAGACAAAATTTCTTCCATTTGACTCCTCTCATGCGAATACGAAAGAAAACTTAAGTATTCAAATTACATTGTCAAAGAATTATTTAAGGTTTTCCTTTTAGCAATCGTTCTGTCTTAATTTCCCTATTTATAAAAAGCAGGGTGCTGTTTCCTTATATCGGACAGATGCTATGAATCTCTGGCATTCTTCTTGCCAAGATAGTAAGTTGAGGAAGACACAAGACCACAAAAATATCTTTTAGGAAATTAACTCTGACAGTTAAGTAGATATAACCTCTTTAAAGATTAGCATGAAAGAGTTACTGAAAAAAAAAATCATCTTTCTACAAACGTTTTAAGAATGCCACTACACAGAGATGAGACAAATAAAGAGGATGGTCACACAAGTTAAATGGTCCTGTGTCACTACTAGAAACTTTTCTTGAGCAATCTAGTAGTGAAATTTCAGATTACAGAGTTTTCACTAGAGAAGAGCAAACTTGGTCTCTTGAACTATTTGAAAGTAGATTAAAAACCAAGCTGGCAGAGCAGTGTGACAACAGAAAAATCTACTTGGGCAGTAAGGAAAAATCCCTGTAAAATATTTCACCAAAAAGGAAAGAAGTGGTGCTAGAATTTCATCTAACTTACTACCCTTACCCTAGATAAATAACTAAACCTAAATATAGGCATGGAAATATCTTTCTTCTGAAGTTTGTATAGGTTTTACGATTAAATATTTGTAAAATTTAATGCAACATTTGATTTCCTTAGACAGTACAACAGTCTGCTGTGCATCAAACAATATGGATATTATCAATTTAAGTCTATTATAAAGAATGTTAGCCAGCAGTGGAACAGGTGTTTCTTCAAACCTAGACATTTAATTCTGTAGATGCTTTTAAAATTCAGCAGTTACGCCAACCACTCACCAAAACATTACTAACATCTTCCCCCTTTAAATTTTTTCCTCCCAAAATAAAACCTGTGAAAGCTCTCAAACTTACTGAAATGTTTACTGTCTGCTTCCTTCTCAATTTTTTTGGGTCTATTTGCGCCACCACCACATCTGGGCATCGAGCTGCTTCAATTCTACAAAATAAAACCAAGTGGCCACATTTTTTTCCTTTCTGTAACAGGTGGCTGTACGTGCCACAGATGTCTCTGAAATACCGCGCCTGCGGAAACCTTCAGGGAGGTAAAAACACTGCCCACACCGCCAATTCTTACAGAAGGCTTGACCTGAGAGTTACGATCGGGTATTCTCACTCCCCACACGACTGCTGGTGCCCCCACCCAAAGCCTGCTGACATCCCAGCTTGCCCGGGGTGCGGCAACGCTTCCCGCAGCGCGGCCTCGGGAGCCCCGCGCTGCCGGTGCGGGGAGCCGAGCACCGGACCTCCCTCCGCCTTTCGGCGGAACACCCT